TGTCTGTGACACTGTGATGAGGTACTGTGAGATGGTGTTTGCATGAGTACTGTGAGTGGGTTATGTGTGTGTCAACTATGTCCATGCACACTGATTATAAAATAAACCTTTGGAATTAAGCTAGAATGATGTGGCTTTTGTTCTGGTTAAATCTGATTTTTTACAGCTGTGTGAGTTTCATTGTACCATTCCCTGGCTTTTTGTATGTCCCAGTACAGGACTGGACAGTCCTACATCTGAATGACCTGAGTCATTGTAGACTCTGCAGTTGTGTAGTTGGGAGTTATGGGGAAGAAAATTATCCCTCAAACTGTATATTTTTGCATATTATTTACATTCTCCTTCTCAAATCAGATTCCACACTTCATTCTTTCATATGTTTCTATTGGGCTTCAGAAATAAAAATACAGGTATCAGTGAGAGGCAAATTATTAGAACAGGTTAGTAGTAGTACTAATAGCTGTATATAAGAATCATTGAATCTGGTGAGGCTTTTTTGTAGAAGGTTGTCATTTGCAATGGATGCCTGAGTTCCTAAAGCTCTGCTTTCTGATGAGAAATTCAGTCAAATGATTTTTTCTGCTACAAAGAGATGCAAAATCTGAGATCTGAAATATGTATAAAAACCTGAATTTCATACTTTAGGACCTAAAGCTAATTTTCAGTCCACAGGGATCTGCTTCCCAGTAGTTCAGCCATATGAGCCAATTTTCATCTTTAGATTAAAAAATAAATAAATAAATAAATAAATAAATAAATAAAGAGGAAAAAAGTCAAAACAACAACAAACCCAGGTCTTTTAAATTTGCTTTCTTCCCTTTGACTGCTTCTATGTGCTTTTCCATACAGAAATCACTATATAACCTATTAGAGCTCCCATCACCTCACACAGCAGGAAGAACAAATCTGGGTAAAGCATTCCTAGGAAACACCTGCGGCCTTTTCCTTTCCATTCCAGAAAACAGAGTTCAGATGCAATTGAAAAAAACTGAGTGACATAGACCCAAATTAGGAAGTGGGGTTGTTAATGCAAATATTCAAGCTCTTAAAAAATTTCAGGTTTGAGTCCATACTTAGTTCTCTCTGCAAGTTATTGTATTTGGGAGTGAGCCCTGTGAAAAGGTGAATTTCATTACAACTTCGTTCATGGACCCTTAATCAAGTTATCACAGCTCGATAAGCAATCATGCATAACCTGAGTCACTACAACCCTCTTCCTTGCAAGCTCAGCTGCATTAATCTTGCTTTTTCCATGAACCTAGAGAAACACAGGCAAGGGGTGATCAAGCTCTTCTTTGAGATGTTCCCATTAAAGCTGCACAGCCAAATACTTCTAAATCTAGGCTTTTGGTTTTTAAAAAGCATAGAAGGAAAGCTTTCAGGAGACTTATATCCAGCAATTAGTGAAGACAACAGCGATCTCCTCCAGTGGCTTCAACTGTACAAATGTATCCAAGAGAGGCACGGTAAGATTAAGAGGTTTTAATCTTAGGAAAACCTGCACATATTTATCTTCTTTACTAGTAAATGGATGGCTTGCTTTCTCAATTTGGAAAAACAATATAATTAATCAAATATTGCAAAAGCAGTGATGCTTTTCTTCTGAGTTGGGCTGTGGGGGTTGCTGAGGTTTTTTGT